CGCGCGCACGCGCGCAATTTAATACTGTTTTATGCGATAACGTATTTCATTTTATCAAGTTTACATTTTATTATCGATTTTAATCAATTTTGTTAATTGACCAACTGCGTATTACCTAAATTATCTATCGGAGTCATTTATTTGTACATATGGCTTAATTTCCATATTTATTACTTAAAACGTGATGAAATTATGTATCTCAAGAGAAGACACACACCTTGACTATTGACGAGTGATAAATAAAAAGTATGGAAAATCGAGCGAGTTACTCGTTTCTAAATGTCATTGGAATACTGTTTCACGTCGTTGTTGTCACGTCTATGGAAAGTTTATGCATCTCGTACTCTCCTTCCCCGCACCGGTGTCCTTTGCGCGCGATTCCATAGCACTTGCGAATCCGTCATTACAAACGGCTCGCCGGCTCTTTATCGTCACGTCGCTTTACGTGAAACCGTAGATTCATCCACGACTGCGAGAGGACGACCCGACATGACCCGGAACAAACAGCCGAAGCGAAGCGGAAGGTAAACGAGGACGCGTTGAAATCTACGAGAGAGCAAGGGAAAAGAGGAGAGGAGAGAGAGAGAGAGAGAGAGAGGGGGAGGCAGGGAGAGAGAGGGAGAATTGCTGGCGCCGGTTTAATTTATCTGGATTTACGGCGCTGAAGATGCCTCGCCGTCTGTGCCCGGCTGGAGGAGGAGAATTGCGATAGTGGTAGATGGAGAGGGGGGGGAGGAGGATTTTGCACAGAGCCATTTTGGAATGCAATTAAACGCAGTACAGTGAAACACGATGCCGCCGCCACCGCCGCCGCCGCCACCGCCGCCGTCGCCGCTGCCGCCGTTGCCGCCGCTGCTGCTGCTGCTGTTGCTATTGCTGTTGCTGTTGCTGCTACTGCTTCCCTTCTCCGCAACCCCTGCTATGTTCTGTCTCCCCTCACCTTCCTCTCTCCTCCTCCCGCGTAGCACCTGCCGGTGCTCTTTGCCTCGTACTCGAATGCCTTGATGTACCCAGATACAACAAACAGGATGCTTTCCGAACGGACAAGTCCTGATGAGGCGTAAAGTGGATTCGCGCTTCGTCTCGGCGAAATGCATTTCGTCGCTTCAAAGCGCTTTCGTCGTACGCCGAGCAGATTTAATTCGAGAATTACTTCGTTGGAGCATTATCGTCCTGCCGCGCGGTGTGACGCTGGATGACGAATAAATACTTTGAGACGAAATTTATTGTACTTATGTTAACATTGCAGCGTACTTAATTAGCGACGATTCGCAAATTCACTGTATCGAAAGAATCATTTTATATAAGAATTTTTACAGAGTATAAAAATAAATTTGTATGTTATAATTTATGTATAATTATATAAGATAAAACAATATAATAAACTTGTGTATGAAATAACGCGCATAATATGTGAAAATGATATAATATTTACATCATTATATAATACGCTCACGAATACAGTCAAGTAAATAAATTCAAGTTACATGTGAGATTAATGAAATTAAATAATATATTTTGTATTGAAATCAACAGAAAGATTCTATTGTTATATTTTAATTATATAATATTCACATCTTTCAGATAAGACATCACTTGAGTCTCCATATTTCCACCCCTTTTTCATATTAATAGCTGCAACCAAATTTCAACCAAGCTACTTATTTTCGAGGACCAATTGCCTGTAAATGACATATACTCGAGCGAATATCGAATTGTCGAGTGCGCCCTTAGATTTAATAGGAATGAAGGAGGGACGATGAAATCGGTCGTCCCCGGGATCGTTTTGATAAGGAAGAGCATCATCCCTATCCCAAGGGTCGGGAATGGGAGGACGTACGGAGGAAGAGGGTGAGAGAGACAGAGAGGAGGAGAGAAAATGGCGGACCAGAGGGAAATCCGACACCAAATCGAAGGAGACGCCATCGCAAAGCGCGGCGCCGCCCCTTTATCATTGGGTCTTGGCTTCGGCACGGTGTCATCCTCGAGCCCATAAGCTCGAGCGCGTAACCAAATCAGAATAATTATCATAATTTTACTTGCGAGGCGCAATGAGGCATGCATCGAAAAATCTCTTCCCTTTTTCCGTATCACAGCGATATTAATTACAGCACTATGCCGGTTGCATTATTGTAACAGAAGTGGAACTTATTTAAAAAATAACTAACAAATCTGGAGTTAATTGTTGGCGGAAAATAAACAGAATTTTAGGCTTGATTACTTATATTTTATCAATATTTAATCAATTGATTTACTACATAAGGCAATATCTTTCGCGATTAAATTATCTCGGTTTTTTTCGAACAAGTTTACAAATTCTTTACTTAAAATTTGAGCGCCTTTTACAACTCCAAAGTATGTTACGCTACGCCTACATCGCATGACGTACAAACGGCAATTAGTTGAAAAAGGCGGAGCAAATTCAAAGGATTGGCAAGGCGTGCCGAGAAAAGACGTCTTCTCTCATCTACTGTGATGCATCGGTTCTCTTGATCTACACAACACCGCCAGGCCTTCCGATATTTTCAACCACCAGATTTCCGTCGCACGTGACATCCTAAATCGGTGCTATTTAAATGTTTTTCTACTTGATTTAATCAATTTTTAAATATATTCTATAAGGAAAGGATTATATCAAATAATGTCTCTCATAATATCAACAAATATTTTTTTGGGAGGCGAGAGAAAGAGAGACGAGAGAGAGAGAGAGATTTAGATTATTATTTATATATATATATACTATATATATATTTAGGTGTATACTTTCAATTTTTATACTTTCAATTGTATATACTGTACATTTTTATCATAATTAAAAAATAAATTATTTAATAAGAATTTGACATTTTTATTAAATCATGTAAAAAAGGTTTTATTTATATTTTATATGTAAAAGTTTTTTTCATACACATATATAAGTATGCAATGCTGTTCGACGATGTGTTTTTAATAATATACTTGACAATAGTTAATTCAATTAACTCATGCGTAATAAGTAATAACACGTGATGTAAGATTTCATTTAAATTATAAAACGGAGGTAAACGATCGAAATACATGTGTACAAAACACGTAACGGTAAACGATATACGCGATAGTCGTGAATGAACGAAACCGATCCTTGGGCGTGTACGAGTTCGTATTCGGACCGATCTACAGCTAAAGTTACGTTTGTCGTTGGATCATATTTGCAGAAATGTGTATCATAATACGACTCCAGAGATGAGCCGGCGACCTTCGCGAGGGGGTGGAAATCTTATCGCGAAAAGTAAGCACTCTAAAAAGAGTGATATCTTCCTCGTTACGTCGTCTGTCGATATTATTCTAAAATCTAAAATAAAACAACTATATTAGTATAACAAAGTATTATAACAATTGTACAATTTGAGATGATATTATAGTGATAATAATTCGACGATTGTTTTATATTTTCAACTTTTACGTTTTAATATGCTTTGTATTAAGTTATGCTATTATACACGGAGAAAATTTTATGTTAAATTTTACTATGCTGCCGTACCAACTGCGGACCATCAAGACGCCCAAGTTTAAATGATATAGTCTTATAGTAAAATTACTATGTCCATAGCATTTAATGCTACAATCATAGCATTCAATGCTATAATAATGTTATGATCGTATCACTAAATGCTATGGACATAGTAATTTTACTATAAGACTATAGCATTTAAACTTGGGCGTCTTGATGGTCCGCAGTTGGTGCGGCAGCATAGTAAAATTTAACATAAAATTTTCTCCGTGTAGGTATACAAATTTTGGCGCAAAAATTGCGAAATTTATGTATTATTATTCATCTCGTGTCGCGCATGCGTTACTTGTAATAAATTATCCAAAATGTGATGACGTCTATAAATGATCCATAAACAAATTTATGATAGATTTCCTTTCGTCAAATCTACCGACGAAGGGTGAATGATTATTGCCGGTTGTTGTGAAATTAATCAAACACAAGGTGCGATAGCGTTGCGTGGGATCACAACACGGTGTACGGTAACGTTGATACGTTCCACTTCCGGTGTTTATTGGCCACACGCGTATTTCGTGATTCCTCGATAGCTCCGTGATAGTGGAAAACAGTATCTACCACACGAAAAAAATTGAACAAAAATTGCTGAATGTCGTAAATTGGAAGCTATGCACAATAAGGATATAAATAAAATATAATCTGTGATAAGCAAATTTTTCTTTCGCTATCTACGCGCTCCGAATTTTTATTTTAAACTTTTAAATTTTGCAAAATAAGCAAGATAATAGAAAAAACAATCTCTCGCCAATTTAATAGATTTATCTTTAACTATTCTTTCGAGAATATATAACTGTAGCTGTAGAAAAACAGGAATTTTATTAGGGATATTCTCTCAACATGAGACAGTAAACATATGTATAAAGCAAGAATAGAGTATGAGGGCAAGGGGACGATGCACAATACCATAATTCGTCACTTCAGTTACATAACAAAAGAAATTACGCGAGTCCGACTCGAGGAAGGAATCGCCGAAATTCGATATATCCAGGTAATCGGTCTGTCGCGGAGGTCGCCAGGTGAGAATCCAGCACCGTGTACGGAGGAATCGGAAGCGTCACGGGGCCGGCGGCGACTCGGACGGGGTGAAGCCCGCGGTCGGTAGGGGGTAGAAGATCGCACCGCCCCCGAGTTCCACCAATGGAATGGAGCGGTACGTCGCACGGCGACCAATCGCCGGGTGGTGGCCGTGCCGTTCCTCGCTCATCGCACGATTCTGCTGCCGAAATAAAAGAGGAGGACGAACAGGAGATCGAGGAGGGAGAAGGAAAGAAGAAGAGTGAGATGGGGGAAGAGAGGAGAATGAGAAAAAGAGAGCGAGAGCGAGAGAGAAAGAGAGAGAGATATAGAGGGAACGACGATATCGGCATCGGCATCGGCATCGTCAGCATTGCCACCGAGCACCACCACAACCGTCGTCGGAGACGGCCGTACGACCACAATTCAACGACGGAAGCCAGCGGGACAACGGCTGCCGCCAGCCGCACCGCGAACGCGCGACGACCGTGATCGCCTTACTAACTTGGTGACTTGGTCACTCAGTGAGAACGTCTGCCCCGGTCAAAGGCATCCTCCTGAGGAGGGTATCGGTTACGCAATCGGTTGTTTGCTCGCGCAATCGCGCTTATCGGCTACTTCACATAAACTCACTGTTCTCCGAAAGTAGAAACGGGGGTGGTTGTGGACACTCGATACGAGAGGTGGTCGCTACGAGATCCAGCACAGTGCACCGGTACTACACGCGCGGTGGTGTGTTCGAGAAGATTATTTCTACTTCTTTCCCTATGATGGGTTCAATGCCTTCGCCGCGGGTGGTTGAACGTTAGTAGTGGTTAGTCACAAGGATTAAGAGTTCAGGTAGCGGATTTTCAGAACTCGCACCTGATGACGAATGAACGAACAATTGGGATCTTTGGAAAGGACTGAGCTTTCTTCGAGGATTAATGTGGATGTGAGAAGTATCTCATTATGATTACATAATTTGTTATGAACCATTGTCGAAATCGAAGAGTTTAAACTTAGTCTCAAACACCGACGGAACTCAACTTCAAAGTTATTTGCTTACAGTGCGGTAATCAAACACGATTTTCAAAGACAAATAAATAATCGTACGCGTAAAGAAATTTTTAAAATTATTGAAAGGAAAAATGATTGCCGTTTATAGGATTGTATCTATCAAAGTGTAAATATAAAAATAAGAATTTACATTAAAAACTAAATAATAGTTTATCGTAATGATTGAAAAATAATCATTACGCGTTCGGGTTACTCTTCTGCAATGAAGTGCAATGTACGGACCATCGGATGTATTGTGAAAGTACAATGATTGTTTCATATATATAGTTATCATACGTGAAAAAATTTATTCAAAAATAAATTTGTTTCAAAATTAAAGTTTGCGAATATTTTAACTCGTGACTTAAAAAATGTCACAACTTTATTGGAGTAAGCTTTGATGAATGGGAATGGAATCGGACATCGACATGAATGAAACGCGCGTGATTAAACAACCGTCGCGTCGACTTGAACGTGCGAATAACGGATGCTTACTTTCGTCATCAGTTATTCATCCGGTCAATCTATAAGACATATCGATACTACGACGATATCTCAATTTGCCGAATGGAAAAAAGCGGGAAAGTAAATTCCTCGCAAAAACGTTGGCTGTAATCTCCAGACTAAAAATTTCCTGCTTGCAGTAGAAAATCCAGAGGCAAGAATGTATGGATGATAGACAAACATCTGTAATGAAATATATATAATAAAATAAATAAAATATATATTATGCCCAGATTCCAGAGAAATTTTTCGAACTTGTTCGATGTAGACAAGTTGGGCGATAAATTGTCAACGTTTCATTTAAGATTTGACTATAATAAAGTAATTCAGTTTGTAATTCAAGATAAGTGCGATTGTTGAACTATAACTTCGGAATTTCGAAAAAGGAATCGCGGAAAAGAATTGCGTCTTGGGAAATTTCTCGCGATTGGGATCGGCGAATGAGTACAGAATTCTGTCTCCTGTCCGACACCTGGGTTCATGAGAGGAACGCAGCCACCAACCAAGGATGTCGGATAGTTCGGATCAGCTGTCATCACCGAACAGCGACTGCAATAGCCAAATGGGCGTCGTGCATCGCAACGCAACCGCACAATACAGCAACACATCGTCGATGTCCGGTCTTGGGCTGACTCATCATCCTCAAAATCTGACGCCGACGTCGAATGGCAGTCCCCAGTATTCACAGGAGCTTTCCTCCTGCAATTCTGTCAGCGTAAACACTAACATTGGGAACATCGGCGGTCTCTCCCTTAACAGCAGTACCAATGACTTCACACCCGAGCAGATATCTTGCATGTGTGAGGCGCTGTCGCAAAGTCAGGACATTGAGAAACTGTCCAGGTAACTGAAAGGAACCGTATTTTAACTTACTAAGGGCCACTATTTCCAACGTCTGTTATAACTTCTAACCGACCGTTAACTCGGTTTCGAACCGATCGAAATAGCCAAATCCTATTAGCTATTCTGAAAAGTTAACGGCCGATTAGAAGTTAACAGACGTTGGAAATAATGACCCTAAGTATTCTTAACTTATTTACTTCAATATTATGTATATGTAATATTTCTTTAAGTTTTGTTCTTTTTACAAAATTCTAAGGTTATGCAAAATTACTGTTATTCTATATCTATTAAAAAATTATTTTCGTATCAGATTTCTTTGGTCCCTACCGCCTGGAGAACTGTTGCGCGGAGGAGAGAGCGTGCTAATGGCGCGTGCCGCCGTTGCCTTTTACCGCGGAGCATATCACGAGCTTTATTCGATCCTGGAGAGCCATGCTTTCTCGCCACGTCGACACCCCGAACTTCAGCAGATGTGGTTCAAATCGCATTATCGCGAAGCTGAAAAAATTCGGGGCCGACCATTGGGCGCCGTGGATAAATATCGACTACGCAAGAAGTATCCGCTGCCGAAAACGATCTGGGACGGCGAAGAGACTGTGTACTGCTTCAAGGAACGATCGAGGAACGCTTTGAAGGAATGCTATATGAGGAATCGATATCCTACGCCGGACGAGAAGAAGAATCTTGCAAAGAAAACTGGCTTGACGCTGACTCAGGTGTCCAATTGGTTCAAGAATCGCCGACAACGAGATCGCACACCGCAAACTAGAACGTGAGTTTCGTTTTATTTTGTTTATAAATTTATACAAATTTTTTTGAGAATGCCAAAAATTGGAACACTTAAATTGCAAATATTCAAATACGTGGTTATATATGGAACTATTTTATCCGAAAAGATTTTTCTTTCGAAAATTAGAATTAACCGAATTAACCGAACCTCATACAGCAATCATCTTCATGCTTATATATAAGTCATTCGCATCTTTCGTAATAAAGCTTCAGTTTTCTAATCTGTACATTTTCGCACTTATAATTTTATGAAATTTTCTGCCGGGTGTTTTTTTTTTTTGGTTTGGTGAGATACCTATTTAACAGATACTTATAATTTGAAAACAAAGCGACGCATTATTTTTACGTAATCATCTTCATTATTTCTTTAGAGCTATTTGTTTTCATTTTTTACACGTTCCCACGATATTTTCGATATTTTTCACTAATGACGAAGAACATATCGAATTTTTTTTCACATTGTCTGAACACGAGCATATGCGTTGACGTGGGGTCTCCCTATTCTTCTCAGAAATGCAACAAGTGTTTCCAACATGTGTCCTTTTCCAAATTTTCCGGATGCATAAATCATTTACTTATACCTGCTTCGCTGACTGACTTTTCAAATGATTGTCTTTTGGGTAAAACTTGAAATCTTTATATGCTAATGATGCAATTTAGAAGTAGCACCGGGTCATGATATAACTTAAGAAATATAACTTTTGCAAAACTCAAGAAATTTGATATTATAAAAATTTCGTCTATTATATGGATCAGTTGAGAGAAAAATATAATTCCATAACGTTTTTCGCAATAAAAGTAATTATGACCGTGAAAACTATGTAAATTATGTTATTTTCAGTATTATATTAATGGGGATGCATACATATAAATCACGATAAAGATAACATCAAAAGGAATTTATTAATAAATTTTATATTCGAGAAAACGTTAAATGATATATACCTTTCCCCTCTCGAATAAGGAGATTAAATTATTCAGTTTAAGATTCTTAATGCTCGTTTTGCATCCACAGAAAGTATACTCGAAATAATAACCGAGCGATGATATAATCGTGAGGCATTCTTCAGAGAGCCAGTGTTATTCGGTTCTCTTTTCCGCTCGGGTGATTATCTAATCCGCGTGCTTATCTAATTAATGTCTGCGTCGTGTTGACGTCCTTTGTGACGATTATGTGTAGGGGATAAGGTGCTGGCAGCTCTACGTAACACTGGGGTTGTTATGTTATGCGCGAGGTTCATTGGTAAACGATACACTCGCACTCGGGAGAAAAGCAGCGGGAGGGACGTAGAAAAAAAATGTAGACGGAGTCACGCTTAGATAATGCCGGACGCGTGTTCAGCCGTTTATTGACATAACAGAGGCCGCAAATTACGATAAGATCAGGCAGCATAGACTTAATCTCTCGATTAAGACGCACGGAATTAAGGGCAAAATTATCGGAGCGATGCATAAAACCCGTCGGGCCAAGAAGTCTCTCTCTCTCCCTCTCTCTCTCTCTCTCTCTCTCTCTCTCTGTTTACTTAATATCGTATATAATATTATAATAATAACCTAATGTTATATAAATAATAATAGTAGATAAGTTAAACGAGATTATTCGCCCACACACATACATGTGTATAATAATATAATTTGGTAAAGCATAAAAAATAAAAGAATTTTATTTATAAAAGAATACGCGTTTGAACTATAATACACATATGTGTAAATACGTTGTGTCATTTCCGAATTTTGCCTGTTACTTTTCGTAATCATTTTCACGGAGAGTATACTTATCTATGTAGAAGCTATTCCGCTTTTAAGTACGTAGAAAGATAACTCAACTATTTACGACAAGATGTGTTGAAAATTTTTTCATAAAAATAGTTTTTCCAAGGTACATATCCCAAGATGTACACGAATTGACCTAAACTAATTAGTAATCAGCTTAGTAATTTAAATGCTAAAACGTACACATTTCTCAAGCGTTTTTGAGATGAGAGAGGAGCGAAATTGACGCGGGGTTCCTCGGAATGAGCCCGTCAGAATGGAAGGCCCGCCAGAGACCGAGCCGTGACCGCGGCTCCGTCGTAGCCATAACAACGCTGCGTTCGCTGTTCGCTCTCTGGTGACTGGTCCGCTCCTTTCTTTGAGCGCACGTAGAAACTGCGTGTAGCGCGCACCGCCAGAAATTCACGCGAGCACGCATACCACGTACCATGTCCCTCTCACGCGCGAGGGATACGTGCGTATATGCATGGCGTCGCCATCGCTCCCGCGCCAAGAGATATTCGACTGGTCAAACCTACCCGCCCGTCGCCGTTGCCGCGGCCGTTCTAATCGATTTCGCTAGTGTTCATTACTCATACATATTCATTTTTTTTACTCCACACAAGCAACTTGTGTGCAATATTTTTCAGCTAAAGCAAGCTTTTTGAGATGAAAAAAAAAAAAAAAAGAATGTTGCAGACTTTTTATATACGTGATTTTTACTTATTCAGGTTTCCAGAAGATAACAGACAAAGTCGGTAGGTTTAAAAATTTTAGGCATGATATGTGATGATAAATATGTAAAATAGGCAATGTTAATTAGTAAAATTTCTCCGTTTAAATTATTTATTTACAAGTCAATGCATTCATCAATCTTTACGATACTTTTCAGCAAAAGAGAATTTTGTGCTTGCTGAGAAAAGATTTCAAAAACTAACTGAAAACTGAACGTAAAAAAAGATGTGTTCAATATAACTTGTCTCACTTCTCACCACGCTTCTCACCGTAAGCTGAACAATTTTTAGATTCGAGCGAGATCGTACGTTCGATAAGATTCTCGTAGCATCCAGCTCTCCTCTCCCTTGCTTTCGAGAAAACAATTCTTTTCTTGGTGGCAGAAGACCAAGTTGAACTTCCTCCCCTTTTCTCGTCCTTAACGTTCTCCTGCCTCTCGCCGAAGGCCCTAGGAAAAGGAAACGCGACGCCCCATTACCGTTTTATGACGCAGCTTCGGTTACATCTCCCGTTTCACCATTGAGCTGTTCGCACTACCAATAGTTTACTACATAAAGGCCACGGCCGGCCCTCCGCCGCTACCTCGATTTATCTTCGCGTGTGCCGCGCAAGAACGAGGACGCGCCTTCTTCCTCGTTAGATCGAAGAATATGGCAGCTACCAAGAGAGATGTGAAAACACATTGACATCGCGATGTTCGATGACATCGATAGTGCTAAATACAATTATATCTTCTAAATATCATTATATGATTAAATTTTCTCTCATGTTCATCTACAATAAGAACAGTTTAATATGGAGTTCTAAGTGTCGACTCACGCTAATACAAAATTGTTGATAATATTTCAATTGATCTCTTATGTTTACACATTTATAAAACTTGTATATCTAAATATCTAGTATATAATTCACTTAGAAATTATATTTCTAATTTCTAGAAAAGATTAGTCTTCCCAGTTATGCGTGCGCCCATTATATCGTAACGTAGGCGACATTAATAGCCTTTTCAAAATATTATCGGCAAGCTCTAAACAAGTCCTCTAAAATGTCCCTCTCTTCCATCCATCCCATGGTCTAGACTCTTATTCGTCCGGACGGAGAAAGGGACCGGAGATGCAGGGCGTTGGGGTACACGTAGGGCGTATTCCTTTAAATCCGGACCTTGAAGCGCGACCATAAAAATGCGCGGTCCGACGTTCGCGTTAGACAGAGGACGCGAGGGTGCGGGAGAGAGTGTTACCAGCAACCGTGTAGCAACCATGGTCATGGGCGGAGTGGTGGTCACACATGCAGACCACCGTGTGATCCGTGTATCGTGTATAGCGCGTACGCACACGCGCGCTCGTACGCGGCTTTCGCGGTTCATTTCCACAGCGGCGTTGCCGAACAATACCCAGCGGAATAAGGTAGACCATCGTTGGACCCTTTCTTCGTCCGTCCGGTTATACTTTGGTCGTACCTTTGCTTTGGCATGCTGCGACAAAAATATGTTTCGCATTAATACATATACCTACCCTTTTCAGCTCTCAGAGTCAATGATTTTTCATTTTCCAATTTTTTACACCCTCTTAAGATAATGATGCCCACATTTGCATCATGTGTGAGAACAACCAGATATTTTTTTATATAGACATAAAAAAAGAGATTTATGGACATCTTTACGAGGGTCGTTTCACAGCTATTGTACACTGTCCATTTTTTTGGCGAGAAATTTGAGTTTCTTTTGTTTCTAAAATAGTTAACTTTCCTTATTGACCGTTGACTTTTACTAGCCCTGCTGAAAACCTCGTTAACAAGCGTTTGTGTTGGTGCATTAAATTTAAATGACTCATTAAAAATAAAAGTATTTTAATATGCTGAATGCGGTTTATAGATAATTCGCTTTTCTCTAAGTCTATACCAGAATAAAATGTTCACTATTAGATCCACATTTCGATAAAATATTACATAATATAATTAAGTTACGCAAAATTATAATGCGTTGTATGTTTATTATTTCAGAGAGAGACTATCACTTTAATATTAATTCTATTTACAGAATTATAAATGTTATTTTTTATATATTTTTATTGAGTTTGATAGCGCCAGTTATTGGTAACCGGCACGTCAGTTAATGTGTTAAAAATCATTATCCCGCTATTAATAAAAAAAATTCTTTGTGGCTTTGTATATAGATTTTAATATTTCCTATATTAATCTATGTAAAAAAAAAAAAAATATACTTATGCAATTAAATTGAATATTTAAATATTAATCTGACATTAATTTAGACATTTGTATGGAATTTATCAAGATAGATTTATTTGGCCAAGAAATTATATGTATATGTAAATGTATATGCAAAAAAAAAATATTCTTTTCAATCGATTTATCGATTATCTTACAACATCATAAAACTATAAATTTACTTACAGGGACATGTTACCACTGAATTGTCAAGGTACAACCAACAGCACAATTAGCAGTTCGGTGAGCAACGGCGGCAGCATTCAATCTTTGCAGAGCATTGATTCCGATAGTCCGAACCTCGCAATGTCACCTCTGTCAACTATGGGTATGTCGCCGGTCACTATGAATCCATGCAGTCCGATGGGCATGAGTCCCATGGGTCCTCATCATGGCTATGCCACTCCCGTTACCCCGGCATCTGTTCATACCGCGCATCCTCATAATGGCGGATTGAGTCCTATGAACGATGTTAAGACTTTGTGTTATGGACGCGGTGTGTATGACACAGGTAAATTATTAAACATTCAAAGAATATCAGATGGGCAAATCTTCTCGAATGCTTATACATATAAGAATTCATGTGCTTATGTATTTTCAATTTAACTTTATATTATGTAATATCAATTTAAGACATATTTATAAAACTTTACTTCTTAATTCCGAATTTTTTAACTTTACATAATCCATAGTATGTCTAGTTGTATATAAAAGAAAATTATATTAAAATTTTGCAAAATATCAGTGGTTGACGGAATGTTATTACGTACGGATTTGTATTATTCAAATTATCCTATTTTGGATTTTTATTATTCTAATTTTTTATATTCTAAATCCGTAAGGTAAAGACGTGGAGCAGAGCTCGGTTTATTACTCCAGCCATTCCAGTATGCACCACCAGTATTATCAACAGACCCACCATCAGATGATGTCTAGCTCCCATCATCATCATCATCATCATCAGCAGAGCGTGCCGGCCGGTTACGAGATCATGCTACCACCACCTTCCATGTGACTAACAGATTACGAGGATGACCGAAGTAATCAAGGTCCTCACGGCCAGACCGACGACGTGGTGACACGTATACACGCCTTCGCCTGATCTCTCCGTTTTTTCTTTCGTCTCGATTCCAATCGTACGCAATAAAGAGCAGCATGTCCGTGTGGCGAAATAATTGTTTCATAAAGCAGACGACACAATTGTTTGTAACTTTTTGCCTGAAACATTTATTTAAAAAGATATCGAATCTTTTTTTACACGCATTATGTGAACGATATACATATATTGACGTTTAAACATTTAAATGTTTATAAACATTTGAACAAAAACAAATTTTTTTAATTCTATAAGAAGAATTTATGAGCTGATACTCTTGAAACGATTTTAAAAGATGGTAAGATGTACGATAGCTTTTTTGGTGATCTTTTCAAGCAATTTATATGTCCATTGAATAAAACAAGATAAAAAAAGATAAATAACTTATATCAAACATATGTCAGATACGAGGTTAAATTTTTATTAATTAATTCTTGTTAATTAATATCAATTAATTATTAATAGTTTTATAATATTAATATTGTTATTAATATTAATAACAATGTTAATATATAACTGCATATGACATAGTAATCATAAAATCACAACTATGAAATGGAATATAAATCGATGTTTATATTAATCTGTCGTCGTTTTCCACTTTTAAATATCAGCTCTAAATATGTCTTTTCGAATGAAAATAATCTATATAACGAGATCATGTTATGCGTGCAAATTTCTAAATGCAACCGAGTGCTATATCACAAAGCCATGGAACGAGCGAACCTAATCAATGAAAAGACGAGAATATATATGTCTGGTTTTATTTCGCGCATTTTTCTTCAAAGTGTGACCTAGCTTTTCGTACCAAAATTTTTCTCACGTAAATACCACTATTTTGTTTATTCACATATTCAAACTAACTCCCCCCTCCCAAAAATTAAATTTTATATTTTATAAAAAATAAAATTAATTTTTTTATATGCTTGTGAATCCAAAGACTTCAAGACATAATTGTAAGAATTTTAGTAAAGTTAATTTTTTGTAATATACTTCCTTCTTGCACCAGTGCAGATTAATCGTTTTCTTAAAATAGGAACTATATAATAATTAATTCATTGTGAAATATCAATTTCTAATTTCGAGGATCGAATACCATTTCACGGTATTTCTTAATTTGTTTTAATTTAATATCTTGTATTTTTTATAAAATTTTGGGTATGCGAGTAAAAACAACCCGTGAATGTAAGAAAGATGCTTATTTTGTTAGGTGTACGATATTTTTTGACGTTGTGTACGACGACATATTATGGCATATTATGTATTGTAAATTATTGCGATGAACTCACAGAATTTGTCTATAATGAAGCTTCTGACAGATTATGGTGACGTATCGTGAAAAGTGACAAAGAAAAAGCAATTAGCGTGTAACGCAGCTGAGAAAAATTGTGCTGCCTACTTTTCTTTTTCCACAATTGTATATAGATATTATACGGATTATGTATGTAATGTATATATTGCTAAAAAATAACAATGTATTGTGGATTACTGGTTTTTAATATATAGACCTGCGTTCACACATACATATGTACACAACAAACACGCATGTATATGCACACTACGCACACGCAACATATACACATAAATCGTACGCGAGTGATGTTTCTTCCTTACTTTATTTTATAAGAAATGCACACAAAGCTATATAATTATAAATATATATATATACACACACAAATATATTATAGATGCTATATGTAAAATACATATTCCGCCAAACATTGCGCATTTTCTTTAAACCTAAATTTTTTTTAAGTAAATTTGGAGTAGTTCCAAGTTCTTTTCCAAAATTATATTTCCTTAAGTCTTTTTTATAACTGTTACATACATGGAAATATACGCGTAATAAGATTTGACTATGAATACCGACCTAGATATTAAACAGTTCTTTGTGTTCTGTTCAAAAAACATGAGAGAAAATATTAAAAACGTATTAACAATCGAAATAGTAGGTACCTTCAATGAGTACTTTATTTGTATAATGTACAGTCAGAGAAGCCTGGAGCCTGAGAGAGGCCATCCCGGCCTTTTATCGTCGATAAAACATATCATTTTGATGCGCGTCCGTCCGTGCTACATCTGCAAATGTATAGTGTTATACCAACACCAGTATAACACCAATACATTTGCAGATGTAGTGCGAATGCGCACCAGAATGATGTTTTATTGGCAGGGTCGGAAAATGAACGTGGCTACGCGTAGTATCAATTTCGAAAATGGACTGGCGTTAGCGTACAGGAGCTTTCGACGTACTTACGGTCCCACGAAAAAGACCGGAATGGCCTCTCTCAGGCTTCTCTCTGACAGGCTAAAGACGATGCACGCACAGAGAAGCGTAATCAATCAATCATCATCGAGGTTTTACAATGGCGGTCTATTCGTTCTCGAGAATTCTCGATTGTAATTGGTTAAGGATCAGTTTAATATTTATATCTTACATGTATTGATAAATATTAATAGCCCTCTCTCCCTCTCTCTCTTTTCCCAGACAGAAAAAAACAATGTCTAAAATCGGGACATAAGACGTCATTTAGCCATCTTTTCGTACGACATCTACAAGATGTCTTTTAGACGTCTTATGTTTAATTACTCAATAGACAATTTAATTCCCGTGCTCAATGAAAGATTCGAGCTATTCACCGAAGCGTCTTTCCACGCGATTCACTCATTCGGAACGGAGGCAAGAGACACGACACGAATTCCGAGGTTATCATCTCACTGCGACACGCGGGACAAGGATTCTATTAAAAGATTCGGATGTATCGCGCTTCGAATCATTTGTCTCTCATGCAAAATTCACTTACCGATCACGGCACATTGTAGGAGACCCGTCACGGTCAAATCACAGCCGGGAAGAACGGGAGGGTGATACGTACGGGCGTCCTTTCGGCCATCCCACTCGTTTGCACTTACAGACGTTGCAGTCGACACGAGAAGGAACGAGAATACGAGAATACAGAATATTCGGCGTACATTCAGCTTGCAACGCACACGCGCACACACACACTCTGTAACCGGAGCGGAGGATTTCTTTTCGTTCACGAGAAAGAAATTAGGGTAAATCTGAAGGAGAGCTCCCTCCTCACCGATTTCGCTGAATTTAGGCTTAATCAACGCGTTTTTGCACAAAACGAACGAATCTGGCAGAAAAAAGCCCCGCTCTGCCCCGCGAAGCGAGATATTAACTGTTAAAGTTGACGACTATCAGGTTATGAGACCTGTCATACCGACGCGATGTAGCGACTGGTAGCGATAAAATCAATTTAGATAACGCATGAAAGAGTGAATGATGTTCTAAAGACAATTTTTAAAATGCGTCTAAAAAATTATAAGATCTTTTATCAATATTTCTCACAATTTGAATTTTTGCGTCGCTGGGTTGAATGGAAAGAAACTATGGAGTGTAGAAATTTAGATAGTAGTTTATCACGAACCTAGTAGGATCTTTCTTCCATATTGGAACAAATACTAATATTTCAGTTTGAGTATTATTGTTTAATCCATTTAACGTGAAACAACTTGCTATTATATTTGTAATGTTCGTGCACGATTCTAATCTATCGCATAAAGAAAGATTTCTAGAAGTATCTAATGGTATGATGTATACATCGACGCCACTCCCCGTCAATGTTACGTCACAAACTTCGCATCAACTTAGCACTCCACTTATAACAATGAAAGTAAGCCAACTGTACAGCAAATCCACGATGCTGTTAAACGATACGACGCTGTATATAACTCCTGAACAAACACCGAGGATGAGTCCAATAGGGAAATCGGAAAGGCTTGTATAAGAATAAGTAAAAGTTTAAGAGCGGAATTGGCGTACGAAACTGATTCAAAAGATAATTTCACCACGATGAAATCACCCGATGAGAAATTGGAGCTGGATCAAAATTCTCAAGTTTCATCAAAGAAAATAAACAAATCTGAGCTACATTCAAACGAGCATATTCATAACGAAGAAAAATCGAATTCTGGAACCAATTCCAGTTCCGTCCGAACAGTGATCGAAAAATCATCAAACAAACAAAACAGCAATTTTATATTATCTCCGTATAGTACCGATTTATCTAAGACTCCGACAGAAAGCAAAAGTTCCGTTAAAGAATCCTCGTCAAAGAAAAGTTCGAAGATAAGATCATTCGGAAGTGCAAGACATTCGATCCGCATCGCTTACAATGTTATATAATATTCATATGTCATATTTTGGAAGTAGCAGAACGTCGTATATGTTGTGCCCATCCTCAGTCCTATTACTCGTGTCCGAGCGTGGTGACTTCTCTTCATATACATGTGTTGCGCACGTAGATTATACACATTGTACATGGAACCTACAATTTAACGCCGATTTCGAACGGCAATTTTTTAGAGAAGTTTTCATGGCAAGACATACTCTCGGTGGTTTGCCATTGCCTGCCGAGAGGAGAACGAGCGAATAAAATTTTCTAGCTCTACCGGGGAATCGAACCCGGGACCTTTGGCTCAGTAGACCAGTGCGCTGTCTACTAGGCCACGCTCGTCTCGATATGTCATATATAATATGTCATTGAGGTTGAGCGCTCAAGTACATCACGTGACCACGGGACATGCGCGCATGTGGTCGCGGAGCATGTCCGTAGTCGCTACATTGCGTCGGTATGACAGGTCTCATAACCTGATAGTCGTCAACTTTAACAGTTAATATCTCGTTTCGCGGGGCAGAGCGAGGCTTTTTTCTGCCAGATTCGTTCGTTTTGTGCAAAAACGCGTCGATTAAGCCTAAATTCAGCGAAATCGGTGAGGAGGGAGCTCTCCTTCAGATTTACCCTTGCGCGCGCGCGCCACGCGGCGAGTCGAGCGGCGAGCCGGAAGCCCCCGAATCCGGCCGAATTACGTTCGGCCACTCTCGCCGCCCGTCGCCGTGCGCCGACGCGGCGCAGCTCTCGGCGCTAACGTCGTTACGATGCCGCGACCGTTAAATGAATCCACGAATTTCGGAGCAGCGTAAGTTCAAAGTCGGCGCGCGGACGATTGTTTCTATCGGCGAGACGGCCTTGCTACTTGTTTTCGTCGACGCAGATATGTTACTCAATCATTCTCCCGATGAATTTCGGACAGGGTGAAGTGTTTGTGCTCCGCGCGCGTTGCCGTGCTCCGTACCGTGCAGGGTGCTGGGTATTCGGAACGCACGCTCGTTCGCGCGATTGGCATTCCTGCTTCTCGTTTCGCGGGAATAATCGACGACGCGCTCAATAATTTGCATCTTGCATCAAGATCAAGTGTATCAAGTGTCGCGCGAATCGAATCGCTCGCTCGAGGCGAAGATGTCGAGGCGAAGGTATCCTGGTACGGCAATTGTGAGTTGTGAGTGATTTGCATTTTTATCGTGATATTCGCGGGCGATGATAATCGCTCGTCCCGCCCCGAGCCGCCATTCGAATGTGCATGGCATTCATTTACGCAGCATATCTCGAATCGTGTCGTGCTTCGAACGTGCTGTGTGCTGTCGCGGAATTGTCGTGCAAATATCCCAGATTCTTTTCGAAGAGCGGAAAGAGGGCCGAGTGACAACGTGAAATCGTATCGTGATTCAAATAATAGCACGCTGTGATACAATTAACATACAACGCATGAATATTTCTTATTTTCGTGTATTTCGTGCCTCGTTGTGCAAAGCGTATATGTATTAATTACGTGCTCAATAAAGTACTTCCTTCCCATGGGTACGACCTTGGCGAGGTGGGAATAAGACCCAGTACTCAGTACGAGGATTTTACCCAAGCAAAACTCTATTGTTCTGTTTGGATAAAAATCCAGACGGGGAAGCTAACGTACCCTCGTCCGCCGATTTAATTGAATGAACGAACCGCAGCCGGTTCGTCGCGTTTGCTTCGGGAGTGCCGTTCAAGTAATCGGACTAATTGTAAAGGACTTTTTTAAACGGGAGTGCCGTACAGTATCGCGCGAGAAAGACGTTTACTGAAATTAGTCCGCGCGCGATTGTAATTTATTATCCGCGAGTGTTTCCCGCGAGTGTCCTGTGCAGCGGGAGGAGAAGGAGGAGGCCTGACATCCTGAGAGGAGGAGGAGGCCTAGGAGAGGCATCGAGCATCGCCGGAGCAACCTTGGGGTGAGTATCATCCCTTGTATCTGATAAAAATTAATAGTTCTTTTTTATTTATTCGAATTGTTATCTCGATAAATTAGAAATAATTACAAAAAGAGAAATTATTCAAAATTTTATTCTTGTAAAAATCTTTTTCGGTAAATAACTAATTATTGCTAAATATCTCATTAAAAGACAAATTAGAGAGGCGTAAAAATTATCTTTTGAAATGTTGATTATTTTGAGCATTTTTTAAATTTGAATCTTATGTTTGTATGTTACAGTTATCATCGTAGCTATGTGGCTGCATACCTCCGTCCGTTGCGCATCAAGTTGGTGAGTCAAAAACATTTTTTTTGATTGATTTTAATATTATTTCATCAGCAACTTATAATTTAATATTTTCTTTTTTAATGTGGACAGATCTTGCGGTAGCTTTTTATAAAATTAGAAATGGATAAATAAATGAAATATATTTAATAAGAAAGCCGTATTATATTTATTTTTATTAGTGATACGGCAATGTATACATAATTCCAATGCGTCCACAGAAAAAAAAGGAAAGATGATGACGAAAGTTTCCTGTTTTGCATCAAATTTCCGATCACAACATCACATAATCAACAATTTTATTTAATCTCGGTTTATTTAACATACAAGAGCTGTTTCTTAACATTGCGCGTCCAGTATGTATAGCTGTATAATGTACGTATATGTTATAAGTAAATCTAAGTTACATTGATATGATCACGTTACGGGGTATTTGTACAAAGAGTGCACAAGTACAACTACTCGATTTGTTCGTCACTGCATTCAAAAACCGGTCATAACGTTCGATTAAAAAAAACTGTTAGTCATTTCATCTATTCTTTACGTCGTAGCGATAATGATCCTGATGTCCTCCTGGAGGATGTAGTCACGAAGAAACATACGCGAATAACTTTAGTTTTTTTTTATCATTTTCCTTAATTGAAAAAATCAAATCTCCGAAGTATCGATACATTTTGTAATAATAAATATTCTCAAGATCTGATCGTATCGCGTATTTGAAATATTCAATACCAAAAAATTCAAGGATTAAAAAAGTCGGTTTAAATTTTTGTAAAAATAAAATTAATTTTTGACTTAAGAACAAATTGTATTTCCTCTGTCAAAATAAGTAAAATCATCTGCATTTTTTAATAATTATTCTGTATATCTTGTTCAGGACACCCTATGCATTAGGCTTCGTTATCTTTTATGCGAACAATTGGATATCTAGCACGGGATATAAAATATGTTCCCCATCGTACATTCGTGTGATGTCTTAAGATAAAAATTTTCTATATAAATATGACGTATTTCAATTTTTATGAAGGACATTTTACCTTTGTTTTTTAATGATACGAATAACAATGATATAAATAATTTGAAATTTCAATTCGTTTAACTGGCAGATTTTATTATGGAATCGATCGACGTCAAACGTGACATTTATGTTCCTCATAATTTTTCGCCGCAAACGACCGCGATTTGCCTCGTCTTTTTGTCCCACGTGCTCGACAAAAAAGCAAGCCACGTTTAATCCGCTCCTTCCCGGCACGATTGATTAAATGGCGTCATTTACCTCCCCGGAGGGTCGAAACTGGAAGTCAGGGATAAATTCGAATAACGTTGGACCGGCGTCGCAATACTAGATCACATATTCTGTGGGCGCGTATACGTTATAAAATTTTTCGAGAAGATTACGAATCTTTTTCTTTTTTTTCTTCTTTGCAAAGCACAGACGAATGTCCAATTCCCGTTTATCACAAATTTTATTGTATGCATTGTCCGCTTGGGATCATCGCCAAGAACTGACTGCGTGTGTGCTAAATTATTACTACTATTGTTATCATTAATTGTTATTGTTACTGTCGACGTTATTATTATTGTTAACATCCTGCGTACGATAACAATGAAAGAAATAATTCTTACAGATATACGCTATCCGGGTCTGTCTCATAGATATACTACGTACATATTGTCTCTCAAGTACATACACACGTGCGAAATACAGCCTGCAGTTTATAGACAATAAACGTATGGTATGCGCGCACGTGTTTTACACGATTACACGTGTATGTATAAATAAATCTAATATATAGGCTATACGGTTATACATACAAGATACAATATATAGGACAAGTCACATTGAAAAAATATATGTATGTGTTTTAATTAGGGAGAGGAAGAAGAGGGTAAGCTACGTGCGTTTGTGTAAGCACATGGATATGTATGGTTCATTAGCGGTGGCGAGGAATCAATTGTTCGGCTGTGCAAAAAGACGTCGTTCGAGTTCGAAGTAACTTCTCTCCTTTGATATAATTCTCGAGTTTTAATCACATTTATGTCATTCTCATTTTAGCTCTTATATTTTCTATTCGTTTTTATCTCTCGAATTTGTTTCCTTATTTCCGTCCTTCTTTTCTTTATCTCTGTTTATACGCATTCACAAGCGTTTCTATCAAGCGCTACATTATCTTATCATCGATCATTGTTGTCGCACGCTCCACCGCAGCGTGAAATATGTGCGAACAGGAGAGATGCGTCTATTTAAGCGTGCCGTTAGTTAGCATCCGAAAATATAATTCGGGTTTACCACCCGAGAATTCGCAAGCTGCCGGAGAATGAATGTCCAGGCGTGTATGTACAAGCAACCGAGAATTTACTGAACGTAATCATATATTTATGTATTATGTAACGTTATCCGCGATCCGCGCACTGGGATATTTGTCGCTTGCATCGCGCCGAATGTAAATCTTAAAATCGGTTGATCGTACTGCGACAGAGTTTCGAAGAAACCGAGGGGTCTCGTGTCATTTCAATTTCACCTTAATCTAGACTTTTATGGTATATGTACATGTCCCTTCCTTCTCCCTTCGCGTGGTACGGTCGCGGGTGCGATTGCTTCATCTCTATGACAACTGAATCAGGAATTCTCGTCAAATATAAATATTACACGTTGTACTCGCGACGAGTAAGAACGAGAATTTATATTAATAAAATAAAAACGTATAATATAGGAACAGTCTAATAACACAGTTGTTAACAGCTAATCTACGATTAAGTCTATAAACTTGTTCTCACCGCGGCAAGGCGATTTAAATAAACTTTAGATAAATTGCGAATTAGTAGCTAAAAAGACAAAAATATACAATTTTGGAGAAACATATGAAAAATGAAATAGCGTCGAACGAGAATTTTTAATAATAGATAAGAATAAAAAAAACTAATAGAAAAAATATCTTTTCACTTGATAAGATATATTCAATAATCACTTCAAATCGCTCCGAACTTGAGAATATCCATGCAAAAAATGAATACTTTTTACTTCGTACAAACATTCACTAATATAATACGAGATAATAATGATGGTCCAGAGATCAAGGAAACTAATACTATGGTGTAGACCTGTCTCTTTTATGATTTTTCATTTAAGTTAGAGTCCTACGATGGGTTAACATTAATACATTTATTCTTATATTTTATATCTTAATTAATCGTAATTACACTACGCTTTTAATTATGTTATAATTTACAAGTTACGCAATGTGTCATATTAAGTTAAGGGATTCAAGAAGATTCGGCAAACATAGTACGAGGTTGGTGCGAATTGGTTCTCTCTTGCTTCTCTTTTTCTCATTCTCCCTTCCAAAGTTTATAACACTCACTGCCGCTTACAAATAATACTGAATCTACTCCAAGTATTTTCAGCCGCACCCAAAGAGAGACATTCTTACACAGTATCGTGCGCAACATTCCACAACCTTCTCCGCTCGTGTCGATATTCGCTTCGACGTCGAATTAGCGAGATGTTAGCAGTTTCATGTGCGTATGTCTGGCAATGAATTTTCCTTGTAAGATTATCGATGAGTTGCAGATCATCCGCTGCTATTAACTCTTAAAGGAATCTTTTTCATTCATAAGAATAAGAATAAGAAAGATTTAATATAATTCTGATTCTTAATAAACTTTAAATAATTTTTGAAAAATTTCTATAATTTTTTATACGATACGAAATATTTTGCCAGATTTTTCTGTCCATAAATAATCAATCTGAATTTACACTCTTAAATAAAAGATTTATTTAAGAGTTAACGATTGACGTTACGTAATCAATGTAATCATGATCGTCTTGTAAGTTTCGCGAAATCTCATTGACGATCGTATGTAAAACAGTCTTGGCAAACTGAAAAGTTGCTTTTGCACATTGCTCGTCGACAAACGCGCGCTCTCTTTGGGGATCACACTAACAGTCTTTTACAGGGGTACGATCTTCTCGTTCCGATGTACGGGGGTATCGTACACGGGCACACACTTGTAATATTGCGGTGGATACGATGCATACGACGCTTCCGAAGGTGACAGACGGCCGCGAAATCGGCTGCGCACGATATGGATTATCAGTAGCAGACACAGTAGCGCGAGTACGACGATTAACGTAATCGGCACTGTGCCCCAGCCCCGGCTGGTGATCTGATTAATCATATCGTTCTCCTTGATCGTCTGGAACAAACGTGATAATGGTAACTCTTAGATTGCTTTTTCTTTCGATAAGTTTGTTAATAATACCATTTTTCGCGATTCGAGCAACTCAAGCGTTCGCGAATATTTCCGATATACATAGTTGAAAAAACAAGTTACTTTGTCAAAATACGTATAATTAATATATCGTATAATGTGGTACTAATGATAAGTATGGGTTTTAAAGAAATACGTTATACATAAAACTCACTGTAATTGGGCATATGGGGCAACAAGTGCCCAGTTTCGGTGGCAGCGGATTACTGCAGGCCACCGAACAGATGGTTTCTTTACAATTAAGTCGCCCACCGGACTCGCAAGTGCATGTGGTGCAGCTGTTTGGATGCCAAGTCGATCCCTCCGGATGCGTCTCGTTCAAATGGTCCATGCACGAAGCTCGACAGCGGCATATCTGCAAGGAGAAATCCATCAGTGTCCAATTAAAATAAGTTCGTTTATTGCCGTAGGATATTTCAAAAGGTGCAGTTTTTTATTCTGATATTCTTCTATTTTTATTTATACCTCTCGTGAAATAGTATAACGGAGTTCCGATCGTTGTACTTACGGGACAGCCGCGCTTGTTCGTCTTATAACCGAAATTGCACCTCTTCCTGCATCCGACGAGCGGCGGACAGCCGGCAGTGGGCGGCTTGCACTCGCAGAAGGTGCAGTCGTTCTCGTCCATGACGAGTTCGCAGTGAAGGTCGCACTTGACCTCGGGGCAGATTCTTTTGTCGTCCGTGGTGTCCAGGGCGGTGACATTCGGCGTCTGACAGGCGCACACCGGGCAACCGTCCTCGTCCTTGACGAGGTCGCAGTTGAGCCCGCAGTGCGGCAGTTCCGGGCAAACTTTGTAATCTTCCGGTAGCACATCCGGCGCGAGGTCGACCTCCTGGAGAAGACGAGAGTCGTCAGTTCGCGAGATAGAAGCCGGGAGTAGCGTTGCTGAGAGGAAACCACCGGAATTCCTCTTATTCGCCAAGTTCGCTTCGCGCGTGAAGATTCCGAGAAGAAAACGTCTTCAGCTGCAGGTACGCGCGCGTTTCAGAGATAAGGGAAACTGTGTCTCTACCTTAGCTAGATCACGACTGAAAATCCGCGCGGCGGACGTTGTTGCAGACGGTTGCATTTAGCTAAGGTTGATAGAGAACGTTTCGTGGTGGACGAGCAGATACTACGCGGGAGATTGCATTCTTATCGTAGGTAATCGTCAGCTAACCCGGAGCAGTTCTTGTTCGTCATATCGTATTCTAGATTGCATAGTTTTGTGTTTGCATTGTAATATGTTGGATATTACAAGTCTACAGCCTATTAATTCGAAAATTATTTCCAAATTTATTCGATTTTTCAAATTAAAATGTTGATTAAATATAAAAGTAGGTGTAATTGTTTTAACGCAATTCTTTGTAGTTTTGTGTTTTCTATTTGTATTATATCTTCAACGTTAAGTAACATGGCCTAACAGCTACTTGCTACTTTTAAATTTGCTCAAAATTATCGGCAATTTTTCCATACTCTTAACCCTTACCAAGTCATCGGCGCACTCGCAGATCGGGCAGTTATTCTTATCCGTTCGGAAGCCGTGGTAGCATTTCATCTTGCAATTGTCCAGGGACATCTTGCAGGACTCGTCAGGACGGTGATCGAAGGTGCTATTCGTCAGCTGTGGGCAGTGAGGGCAGCATTCGCCCGGATCAGGTGGTATCGCGTTCTCGCAGGACTTGCACATGGTCGTTTGGCAGGACGCGATTCCGTCCTCGTTGCAGATGCAAGTGATACAGTCGTTCTGTTTCCATTCCTCACCGAGTTTCCTCGAGACACCCTCGTGAATGCAGTTTTGCGGTTTCTCTTCAACCTTTGCCCAGGAGATCGGATCTAGAAAGGATGAGACGAATAAAAAGGAAGTTAGATAAATCGGCATACATTGAACACTTCAATTTATACATATATTATACATATACGTAGGAATACATTTTATTTTTCAACGGGACTAAATGGGAATGGCGGTTAAAAAAATTTCCGTGGGATATAAAGAAAAATGAAGAATTGAAATTTATACGGATTTAATTTATATAGCCTATTAGAGAAGAGCAAGAGTAGAAAACTTGGAGTATTCCTTATCATAGCGTCACGTAGGTATATTGAAATGTTATTTAACTATCGGATGAAAAAAAATATTTAAGAACATTTTCTTGACAGGGCTATTAAATCGTACCAACATCATTCCATCGCACTGAGATTTTGATGATACGCTAAAAAATATAAGAAATATTTTCTGAAGACAGTTTATAAATAACTCACGGGGAATACCGCCGTCGGGAAGAGTCGCTAACCCAAATATGGTAGTTTTGCGAGCGAACGAGGGAAAACTTGGGTGAGTGTCTCGGTGTTCCCGGAGTTAGCGAACTTTTGCATAAAACTGTTGCAACGGATTTTTCAACGTCGCACTGAGCGCGTCATTGGCACAATCTCGTTCGTTCCACGCGCAAACGCGATCACGTTTTTAAGATATCCTTCAATCTTGATGAAGAATCGCCGTATTATTAGCGAGGCAACCGGTTAATTATGCATACGAGATTACGAGCGCGTATAATCGGCAACCGCGCGCGTTTACGCGCTCCTCTTCGACGATCAAGTCATTATTCGGCGATTTTCCAGCGGCGACAAGCGCTCGTCCGGTAATCATCAAAGCGCCGGAAATTGCAGAATTTCACAAAGATTTGCAATCTCGCTTAATATTCATAGCGCCCTTAACACGCCTGCCACAAAGCCGTCTTACGCCTCTCGTCGCCGTTAATAACTCGCGAAAATCTAATTATCTGCGACATTATTTCGTTACACGGACGATCGGGGTGGATGGTATCGCCGCCATTAAAGCTGTCAAGCGTTCTTGATGTAAAACACCGCGATTAAGCTTCTCGGGATGACTTGGCTATTCACGCGAGCGTCGTATTTCGCTTAGAGCGCTTTTATTTATGCGCTCTTCTTCTCTCCTTCCCTCCCTCTTTACACAACCGAGTGCCCGTACGTGAAATTTACATGCCCAAGTACGCTCCAGCTGGATAGTAAACCCTTGAGCGCTGATCTTTTCTGCATGAGACAATTCTATACGCGCGCTGCTTTTAAGTCGCCACGTCCGCATCGCCGCGTCGGCACTGATAACAGATGAATTTGTCGTCTCGCTGGATGAGAATGGTATGTGCATTATAATCAGGCAAGTGCATTGTTCCGTTCTATAAAAAATTTCATTTTTTTCGCAACTTAACCGGCTGTAAATACAAGTTATAGGCGCTGCTTTTGTGATCTCCGCCCACGCACGTGTCGCCGCCCGAGAAAAAAAAGTCCTTAATTATTACCTCGATTATTATCTCGCTATTGGCGTCGATTTTAGCACGCGTCTGCTCTCTACAATTCTACATCGTGGAAAGAGACATGTGGGTCAGGCGGTCGACCGTAGATGCGGGTATATTATTTCTATCCCCAGCTGCGTCTCATTTGCGAGCGTTCATTCATAACGCCTAACGCCTCCCGAACTTTAAAGTGGCGCGTTCCCGTGAAAAATTGACTCGGTAACGCAAAGAGGCAAAAACAATTTTCGCGAGCCTCCGCTGACGCGCGGTCGGCCGGCCGAGCTCGTACTCTCGTATAGTTCCCCATTATTTCCTTGTCGCGACACACGTACGGACGTACGTTCGCGTTGAAAGGGGAAAAATTTGCACGAATTTTTTTCATCGGATACATCGTTCGCTGACTGGTTGTCTGGCTGGCTGGCTGGCTGACTGGCTGACTGGCTGTCGATGGTCCCTCGCGTAATATCTTTTCCCCACCGTTTCACATATAGCTTACACCGCCGGAAAAAAACTAAATTCGTGAGCTTTTGTAAGAAATATGAAAGAGCGGGTGTTCCCTTTATGTGCCCGAAGAACTTTTTTTTTTTATTCCGTTTCATTATTCTGGATGTTTCATTACTCTTTGTAATCTGCACTGCGGCGAGGGGACGATATCGACGGCCGAAATTGAGGGCAATAATAAAAGCGCTTTTGTAGAAAATATTAAAGATATAATCTCTCTTAGCAAAGAGAATGGGAGTTCGAGAAGAACGAGAGGAAAAAGAAAGATGTGTTAAATGAAGAATTGTAAGTTCTTACGAGCTGCGAAACGAATATCCGATCCAATATCGTAAAAAGATATAGGAAAAATTACGCTTGAATTAATATTTCGGACAAATTGAACGGAAGATAATTACACATCTAGAAAAACATTTACGGCGAATCAATTGTAAATATCGTTAACAGCTTCGATCAGGACATCAAATCGTTGACGAAGTAATTAAATTATTTTTGTAATTAACATGTAAAATACACTTTTACAGCGAAAACCGGTGTGAGAGAACATCTATCTGTATAATTTAATCCGATTGTATCGCTATTTACCTCAACGCGGTATCAGGGTTTACGTCAATATTTATTATCGCGTGTACTTTTCGACGAAAGCGTATTAATTAAACGAGGCATCAACTATGTACGCGTGACCGATAATGCGGACTATGGGCTAATGAATATTGTTAACAAGGTAGAACGCTGTTTAACTGTCGCATAGCTGTTTAAACACCGTCCTGTACGATACAGAACTGGAATGAATTTACCGTATGATGTAAAATGGTATTTAATTGTCGAGAATTTGATCGATTGAAAGAGACCCGCGATGTCCGAGACCTATTTAATCGATCGAAATATATTTAAACGTATTTAAATATTACGCGTACTTAATTTTTTATTTCCTGACGCAATCGAATATTTTAATCATTTCGCTCGTAAAATTTTGCTGCTTAAATTCAGCATTTATTGAGTGTGATACATCGAGGCAACGCGTTCACTTCCAAATGCCAAAATGAAGTATAATCGAGCACAATAAATCGATTATCATTAAGAGAGCCACAAAGAATAATCTCTTGGCCGCGATAATAATATTTCTAGTGTAATGATTTGTAGCTGTCCATAGCGTACTTGGGGTAGAAATGTTATTAAATTTGAAAACAGGCACGGAGCACTATTAAATTTTAACAAAGAGAGATAGAGGAAGAGAGAGAGAGAGAGAGAGAGAGAGAGAGAACGATTTCGCGAGATAAGAATGACTTCATTAAAATTCAACAGGTAGATCGAAAGTTCCAGCAAGAACGGCGACGGTGTAACTTTAAACGTCGTAACTTAAAAACCGCCGCTCGCTGAAATATCGCATTTGAGCATTATCTCTGCTTACAATCTGCGCGACTAGCATTTATAATGTCGGTGGATTCTAGAACGAATTTCAGAAAATAATGGTAGCGTTGGTATTTAGAAGGCTATCTAATTTCTACGTAATTTTATAAAAACTACGTAGAAATTTATGTGATAAGTCTTTTTTTATATGTGACACCGATAATTGAAAGTAATAGGATCGGCGAATTAAAAGATACACTTCCGAGTAACCGAAGTGAAAAGTTCTGAAAACGTCTTGGTGGATTCTAAATGACGAAAGAGAGAGAAAGAGGGGGGTGGGATCTTCTTCATTTTGTCGTAATCTCTTCGCTCTTTCAGAACCTCGTTATATATATATATATGTATATATATGTAATTCCGTCATATATATAACGTATACACACTCTATTTCCCTCAGCCCTTCTTCTCTCTTTCGGTAACGGAATGCCGTGCGTCCACAGGAAATGCGTTGATTACGATTGAGGAAGTCCTTCGTGCCGATATCTGAAGTACATTGAGGCTACAAACTCAACGAACGAGCTTGCCTCGCCAGATTGCAATTCGAGCATCCGAGGGAAAGAAAGAGATAGAGATGGAAAAAGAGACGGAGGGGAGGGAAGAGAGGACGTATCGGAGCATTCGGAGCACGAGAGCAGCGAGCGAGAAAGAGAAAGAGCCAGGAGAGAGAAAAGCATGATATCCCCGAAATATCGATCCGATATACGGCGTATTCCGCACGCCGCGCGCCGTTCCTATCGCCTGACAGGAACCAACCTCGATTACGACCTTACGTAATTACCTGAGGGTCTGCAGTCGTGAAGGGGGCAACAGCTACCGGGTGTCTCCGGCTTGGCCGCCCGGACCTCGACCGGCCGTTGACCAGATCGGCACTTGGGCGGCGGACACGTCGGGACGCATTTGCAGATGCCATCGTCCGTCAGGACGCTGTCCTCGGGACAGAACGACTCGGTCCGGTGATGGTGATCTGCAAAACCGGTGTGATTGGACGCCATCGACTTGTGTTACCGACTCGTTAAATAAGAAAGACGCATTCTATTTCTATGCTTGTCACGTTAATTATTATATGGTAATTATACTTGTATTTCTTAATTATCGGTATTTTACGTTCGCGTGAGAGAATTGTATTTTTATAACTTTATAAGCGATCAAGTCAACGTTGTGTGCCAACGGCAATGAGACTTTTATTTCCAAGATTTTATTTATTTTCAGTAAAAATTGTAAGTGCTATCTTATATAAAGTATTCCGTGTCGGTTGTTTAAAGTCAACATTATCATCAACCTGATGTTTTTCAAACGGTACGGTTTAATCAAAGGAAAAGCATGATATTTACACCACCACCACCACCGTCGTATCATTTTCTCGGTTCCGCCAACACAGTCCGATCTTCCCCGCGCACACGGCGGCCATTCGTTACACTCGGTAAACATTATTTTCCGCTGCGAACACGGCCCCTTTTATGGATTCTATTACCTGAGGGAACGCAGTTGTAGCGCGGACAGCAGTTACCGGGGGTCCCGGAAAATGACCCCCTTACCAGCACCGCCTGCTGACCCGGTCGACACTTGTGGGGTGGACAATCCGCACATTTGCAACCGCCGCCATTCTCGTTCGGCATGCTATCCTGCGGGCAGTCGTCGACACTGTGCTCGGCTCCTTGAAACAGAAAAATCACCAGTGAGATTAACGTCAGGACCAGAATTCTCGGGGACGGTCCCGACGGTCGGCGATATGTCCGACGAAGGACGACGCCGTTAAAGCGCTCCACGTCGAAAGATATCTCCGCCCGGGTGTTGGATATCCTGGGATTCTTCTCCAAACGCTTGAAATTGCGCCAGGCTATTCAGTGTACTTTATTATCAATGGTACTTTGCACCAATTTGCTGTCGTACGGAGTGCCCAAAAATTATATGGCCATTACTTTCGTATATCGGTTCTCGACCGATATAGAGAAAATTTATCGTTGGCAGAAATGTTAAACGCTACAAATAACGTCGAGTCCCGAGTCATAATTCTACGACGATCTACATATAAAAAGATTATTTTAATTATTTTGCTTTCTAATTTAATGTAATATATGTAATATATTCACTGAACGAGATGGAAGTTTCAAGAATATATGTATGTTGCTAGCAGAAGCTTAATATCTATTCGATTTCTATTCATTATTCAGCTCGTTAATTGATCTTCAAGTTAGCGATTCGTTCTTTCTTTGTCCAAAATAATGTGATGACTGTAATTTCCTGAAAATAATTTTTGCACGCTGTCTTTCCCAGCCTCTGCCCTGAATGAATCTTTTAAACTTAAAAACCCCTTTCCATTAATAATCTGACAGCAAGTGCTCTGTAATTATGTTGATATATGTGACAGACGGACGTATGCGCGTCTCTGTGAAAAAGACATCGGTTCTTCTGTGCGGATCGCTGCGCAATGTCACGAGTTATACGATGTGTACCAGCGACATTAATATAAATTCCCAAATGAGTAAGGAAAAAAAAAGAGATATATCCTTGTCACTCACACACACACACATACACAGAGAGAGAGAGAGACGTGGTGAGGATCGATTATTTTATTCAGCGGATTATCCCGATAGAAGATATACACGTATTGTCCCATGTGTTCGCGGAGGTTCCGTTGTGCCGGAGAACGAGAAAAATAGCGAGCTTGATGGATGCCAAACTGGAAACCTCGGAGGTATAAATGCGATGCGCTGAGGTATAAAGAGAATGATAAGCGGAATAAGAAGATAGTGCGAATCCATGGCGCACCGGTAAATTCTGTTCCTGGCAGTTGTATAAACGGAAATGGATTATTTTCTAACGATTCATTTGCAACCGCTGCGCCGTGTCTCTATTTGTTTCTTGTAAGTACTGAAATAAACATCCGAGCGATGCAAAAGTCTCGGAGACGTAAAAACGTTTAAAGTTAGATATTCAGAGACCGTCGTATTTAATTACGAGATGGCTGTAAATTCTCGGAACTCTATCACACCACGCAAATGTTCATAACGTGAGTCATCGTTGTCTCATACATACTAAATGTGTTTGTTTGCATACAAAGATAATTTCCTGCAGATTACATTCGTGCGGTCCCAGATTGATCTTGAAAGCTCAGCGAATTACGTTTTTAGTGAAATGGTCACAATTATAGAATTTCCATGTCGTTATCCACCCTACCAAATTCTCAAATTAATAGTTGTATTTTAATTATTCGTTATCAAAATAATAAATGTAATTTATCATTCTTGTCGCGTTATAAAAGAATTCTGAAATTGATCTAAAAATTTTCAAAATTTTTATGATGCAACGTAAGAATATTTGTGGAATATAAAATTGTGAAATATGCATAATTGTGAGCGACATCGAAGTCTGTTACAGTTACGTAATATCGCAACGAAAAACTAGATGTGGAAGAAATACGTTGGAGAGAATAGAAAAAGTTTAAATTTGTCCTTTGTATGGATTTGGAAAAGCGAAGTTCGTACATGAAAAAGATGCTTCCCTGTTGTAGCTGTTAAGGAAAGCGGGATATTCGATATCAAGAAAATTTTTAGTATCATCCTCTAAATGTGAAACTGTAAGGAAAAGTCCCGCGAGACACAAACGCGAATCTTTAAAAGAAACCAAAAATTCAGTCACACAAAATATGGTAAGAAAAGTCGTACCACATATGAAATACTTTTACAGAGAAGAAGGTGAAAACAATGGCAATTTAGAGAATAAAAAGGAATTGCTTTCACAATTAAAAGTTTTCCCTCTGAAGAAAGCGAATTCTCTCTTAAAACTTGGTTTGCGTAGCCTAATGGACTTTAATTCTGCCCGTGAAAGTTTTATATCGAACGTCTCGCTCATAATTTTGAATAGTCCATAAAATATACATCACAGAACACAAAAAGATAGTAATTTCATCTTTGTGAGAGTCGTCGTTTCAATGACACTTTTCAATATCAAAGCGGTTCTTGCTAGTCCATCGCACACATGACAGAAGTCGTTGAAATCGGCGATTGCAGTTGATTCTCGTATCCGTTGGATGAGTTTGCACATCCTCTGGAACGCGCAATCCGCTGTACTCAGCGAGAGGAGAGATCGATGACTTAACAGCAAGAATGCCGTGTGCATGATGCACTCACAGTGCATTTCGTGTCACGACCAGTCCTGTTGTCCGTTCGTTCTTTGCGTTTCGGCCGCTGACATGACAGAAACGAGAAGATACGATCTTCTTCTCGTCCGGTGCCGGTTGCACGCAGCCTCTTTGTGTCCGCCTTTCGCAATTTCGCGCCGGAGATTTTGAAGCCGGATAAGTCTCGTTCTCGTTACCGCCGCTGCCGGCGAGAAACGATGAAGAAGAAACGAATAAAACGCGCCTTTCGGTTTTCGACGGCTTTCGGCTTTCGGTTTTCGGCGTAACTGAAGGGTACATCGGTCAAAGGTTAAGCTGCGGCAAGTCCTTTAGCCGAAAGGGCTACAGAAGACCCTCTCTCTTCATCTCTTTCTCTCTCAGTTCGCGAAAACCTCCGTATAATATCCCCCTCGGCGAGCAGAGGATGATATCCATTGGATTTTATTGCATCTGTTTGAAGTCACGGTTTAACGCTCGATGATTCGGTTGCTTTATAATCTTTTTGATAAAAAGCGTATTTTAGACGTATTTTAGTTTTTCAAATTTTTCGTATTTTGCTATCACTTAATATGAAGATTTATAGTCATCTAATTAACCCTATTCACTCCAACGTTTTTTTCGCCCCAATAATCCTCCAACCATGCACTTTCGAGTCCCACGTGTTTTTTATAATGTTAATAGCTTTGAAAAATTCCCCAAAAATTATTATAATATCTTTGTACCTTCGACTAAAAATCAATGTAAAGAACATTTGAAAATCATTTATTTAAATATTTTTTTACAACAATTATATGTTGACAAACACAGGTTACGACTCGTTTTATTTAAAAAATCATAACTCACGAACAAATTGACGAAGCTTAATGAACCAAAACGCAAATTAAAGCTAAAAGTAGTGCAAATGAGAAAAAAAATATGAGATAATTATTAATTAAATAGGAATACTTAATTTCGTCGCCGCAAGTTTGGTAATTTTTAAATGGTACAGAAAGACTTTAAGGACTTAAAGAATGCTAGAAAAAGAATTTCTGAATAAGAAAAGGCGAATTTGAAGTGTGACAGATATTTTTTATGTAAAAAAATTAATTTTTTTAATATAATCGTAGCTCCTCCCCACCTCTTCCACCTGCCTCTGAGCCATAATAGACCTCTGTGGAATGTTAAATTTTTTTTTTAACGACAAAAATATTTTAAATACGGTTAAATTATACACAAAAATACATTTTTATCGAAAAAAATGCTCATTTACCTTTCACACAACACTGACGTAATCCTCCAACCATGCACTTTCGTGTCCCACCGAGATTTTGATTGTTCCCCGTTTCGAGAGTAAATGAGCTAGGACTTTGAAATTTTTACCTGAGGTTCCCTGCCACAATAACTTTTTTCCGGCGTGGAGGGGATTTTCCCACGATCATTTGTTTTCCGGAACAAACGACTGTTAGAAATTCGTGGGACACGAAAGGCATGGTTGGAGCGAATAGGGTTAAATTTATTTAATTAATTTTATTTTTTTTCCTTTAAAAATAGCTTTATTTGTAATAACTAATACTGATCGTATATAACAACAAGATCTTACAATATAAACGATCGTATAATAGTTAATCTATTATTAAATTCTCTTAGTAATATTACAAGCAATATAAATATTGATGCAATTTAAATGTAATATTTTTTCATAGTTTAATGTATACTGTAAATCACAAAAAGACTTGTATTAGTCATAAGATATGCTGAAATATCAAGTTTAGTTATAAAGGTTTCCCGAGACTTAATACAGAAAGCTGTGGTTTATATTCCCCGATCGAGATCGGCTCGTAAACTTCTGGAAAATATAGACGAAATTTCGCTCTCGTAAGAACGAACTCATTGTTCAAGGGCGATTCGAAAGGATCCAGCCATGCGATAAAATGAGTGCTTTCCTTTCTGTTTTTACATTCCGCTGTACACTCCCCTATTTTTTTTTCGAAGATCCTTACCCATGGGATCGATCGGCGTGTTCTTATCTGTACCTTTCCGTATTTTATGCGTCCGTCCTTAGGTAGATAGCGCGCCTAAGGCACGCGTAAATCGGCACGAATCGCGTCGTAAAGATAGCAGGGTTGGATAGAGACTGGGAAGTAACCGGCGAAATTAACTTTAAAGGATAAAAGATAAGGCAAAGAAGAAAGGGCGAAAATTAGCTTTTGTTTCAGAGAGGCGGTTTTGGCGGTAAACGAAGTAATATCGACGCGATGGAATCGCGATTCGCGCTGCGATACGATCGACGTGCCAGCTGATTTATTTCAGCGACGTGTATGTACACGCGACTGTACGGTATACTTGGTGAATGAGGAGAGGAAAGTGGGTAATTTCCTGCGAAAAATAACATCGTGTGGTGCTCACGAAACGGGCAAGCGCCATGAGGAGGAAGTCCTGATCGCTGCCCCCCGTTGCTCCTTCGACAGTGACGAATGACTGACGAAGGTTCGTTTTGTATTAATAATCGCGAACTCACACTCCGGACATAATTTTTCTCCAGGAAGCATATTTTC